TTCGTTTCTTTGTCCACACAGGAAGCTCATAAATGCAAAAAAGACAACAGTGATCAACTACTATAAACCAAAGGTAATAAAAATAATTAACACATTTCACGGATTAATTGTTTGCATGCTATTAGTTAAGTAGTCAAGAGTTAATCTTTAAATGGATATATTACTGAAGTATATAATTATAGATGTGGATATAAAAATAAATCAATAACTACAATTTTATGTACCAATGAAGACACATATAAATACAAAAATAAATAAATATAAACACCAAAGAATTTCACTCCATCTCCCCTACCCCTCCGTCCTCCATAGACAAACGTGCACCTCCTCCCCCTCCGCCATCCATGACGAGGACTGTTCAGGACTTTCTCTCCTCTCCTTGCCTCCCAATGACTACTGATATATGTTGATATGTAATGGTGGTGTATATTTGTACTTATTTTTGTATAATCTCCCCTACCCCTCCATAGACAGACTTGTACTCCTCTGTCAACCATGACGAGGACTACTGTTCAGGACTTTCTCCCCTCCCCCTCCCCATGACTACTGATATATGCTGATATGTAATGGTGGTGTATATTGCACCTATTCTTATCAAACATTCGCTCTCCATCGATTCCAAAGATTTGTTTCCTGTCACTAGGGCTTCGGAAGAGAGCAAGATATTTCGACTAATATCTGTATTAAATTTTCCCTTAGGAAACATGTTCTGAAGCAGAAGGATGACGCTAACGTTTCTATGACGGCCCTGGGTAAATAATGGAGCTACAACAGGTATTACTGCATTGGGGTCCCTGTGGGTTCGTTGGTTCCCTGTGGTCTGTGGCACGCATGCGTAGCAAGTAGAGCGAAAAGGCGGCCACGAGGCCACTGAGTTTTCACCTTTGAAGATCCCTTTAAAGATCCCCTTTTTTGAGAGATTTTTTGGAAGGCTTTTACGGGAATTTAAGAGCGAAGGTCCACTAATATCGAGCATCGGCCGGTCACGGTCAAAATTTCGATTTTGCTCATTTTTGGTTTGCTGGAAGGTATTACCGAGTAAACAAACGTGGTGTAGTTAGTTTTTCAAAAAACCGCTAAAAATCTGAGAAATCCGAGAAAAACTATTGGCCTAGCGGCGATCTCAGAAGTATGCAAATTTTCAGTTGAATCAAACCGGTCCAAAAACAACTAACGCATAGAGAATAGGAAAAAAATATGAAACCTATATGTTTATAAATTGATAGAAGAGATGTTTGAGACTTGATTGGGTATAAAATAATGGTTTTAGCTATTTATTGAAAGCGGTCAGATGATATTT